GAGCAGCAAGGCAGGGAGCCCTGATCCTGCAGTGGGCAGTCTGCATCTGCCCCTGCTCTGCTACGGAATTATCCATCTCAGCCACTGCCAAATTAAGGCTTTTACAGCTGTGAGAGGGCTAAACTTGGTAGCTATTACAGCAGTGTTGTCTCCCAAGGGGGCAGGGAGAAAGCAAGTCTGTCAAAGGGACCCTGCTCCTACTCCTCATGATGGGAGCCTCCACCCTCTGGGTGAGCCCATACCATGCTACAGAAAGTAAGGACTGCCCTCCCCCAACCTGTTCTCCTGCAATCAGTGCACCTCCCTGCTGCCTCTCTGCCAGGGTGCAGAAATATGCCCCTGACAGGGGGACACTAGCACTCCCAAAGGAAGGGTGAGCTAGAGTAGGGCATGATGTCCATACCTTTTTCACTTTCCGAAAGTTGTGCGGTCTGAGGAATAGACAGAATGAGAAAGTATAGGCTTTTCCCCAAAGATCTGTAACTCTTATGTCATTTGAGAATAAAGGTAATGATGTTTTGGAGACTTGTGTGAAAAGCCTGTAATTTTTTTAATCTCTCATGGGACACAGTTTTGAAAGGTTTAAATTATAATCCACCAATTGTAGACTTTTTTTTCTCTTTATGAATCATAGAAAAATAGGGTTATAAGGGAACTCAACAGGTAATATAGTCCCATCTCTTGCTCTTTCTCAAACCATCACAGACAAATGCTTATCTTGCATGTACTTACAAACTTCCAGTGAAGTGACCTCTGTGAGTATAGAGGGTGCTGTTAGCTTCTATGCACCTGTCTGCGAGAATCTGGCCCAATGTCTTTCCCTTCAGCTTTAATCTTTCTCACTGCTGCACTGTGGAAAACTGCCTTCTCCAAAAAAGAAGTATTCTGTGAAGTCATGTCCATATGTTTGAATGGGCCCTATCCTATTCATTTTTTTGCAATTTGGAGACAACGCACATTCTTGATGCTTGTTCCATCTTCACATATGAAAAACCTACAGTGGCATTATAGTAAACTTTTATGAGAATACAAATTTCAAAATTGATATTATGCTCAGGAAATCTGTTAAGTAATGTTAAAGACCGATAAAGCTCTGACATAAACTACATAATCATATGCATATGAACACTCCACCTTTCTTGACAAAGCATAAACCAAAAGAGAAGGCATGTTATAAGATGTAGCTAAAATTGGCCTTTAAAACTTCCTGCAGCTAGTACTTTACTTCCACGTACTGTAAACTTTCGTATGTTGACATGATGCAATAGTAACATGAAATCATGGCTTAAAATAAAAAACAAAATATCAATCTGCACTTAGAACTAAAGATTTAGGGAGGTGTTGGGAATTCTGTACATAAATTTGAAGTATACAACCTTTCATTGTATTTAATGAAGGAACAGTTATTATAGTTAGAGTATGGTAGAATTACCTTGAACGGATTTTAACTTATTCCCTGTGCCAGCATACAGTCAAGTGGATGAGAAATCCCAGGTGTGAAACACATTTTGATGTCCCCTAGCATAACAGCCCACCCATTTTGAAGGTGCACCTCTGATCTTTAAAATACAAACTGCCCATTTTAACTAGTTCATATGCACGCTTGCATTTGACTTCTTACCCACTGTCATTCCTTTCTATTAGCACCATAAATTTGTGCCACTGAAATCACTGGCAAAACTACAAGCTGTCTTCAGTTAATGGGACCAATATCTAATCCTCAGGCTTTAAAAAAACTAAACATTGTGGTATCTTCTTTAAGATAATCGGCATTTAAATATATACATGCAGGAAGAGATGGGTAAGATTTTAAATTAAAATGTGCACAAACAGAAAGAAGAGTGAAAAAAACAAAATCAAGTTTACCAACATGATAGACCTCCCCAAGTTTACCGTCTCAGGACAGTTCATCACTGAAAATATTTCTTCTAAGTGTAAAAAGATTTTGGCTTATTCCTACCTTTCCCCCAACGAACAGGGGAAAATTCCATTAATACAGGGGGATATTCCACTTCAGGCAGTATTTTTTTTAAGTTTTAACACTGTGATGCACAAGATATAAAAGACACACAGAATGAACAGAATACACTTCAGTTATAGTGGTTATACCAACATTAAGCAACTGTGCCCAAGAGCTTCAAAAGACCTAAAGTAAGCATCACAGCCTAAAGGAGGTTGCTTAAATACATGTACACAGGCAATCTTGTAAGCCAGTTGGAGATGGACGTGAACAACCCTTGTGTAAATCAGGCCACTTATTTAGGTGCCTGTCTTTTAGGCACCCAAGTCTGGTCACTGAAGACAGGATTTTCACTGATTTCTACACCCAGTATTTTATCAGGCAAAGCAATGACAGTTATAACAAAAAAAAAACTGTATCACACATCAGCTACAGTTAAGTATAGGCTGCAGGAGCTAGAACTCAGCCCTGTGCCTCCGGCTGTCATCTCCCTGCAGCTGCAGGGTGGGGACAAGGGAGAGTAGTGACAGGATGTTTGAATTTGCAAGCAAAATAAACTTCAAGCTGTTGTTTCTGTTCCTCTATCCTAAGAGGCAAGTACAGAACAAGTCATGCTTGCTTTTTGTGCATTTGTTTTGTATTTTAGAATAGTTTAAATGCTAGGGTCAGCATTTCACTTTCCGGCAAGTTGCCACTGTGACCCCGTAGGTGCTGCAAAGTTTGTCTCTAGTCTATGAGCCAGAGAATAAAGACAGATTCCTTCTGGAGTGTGCTAAGGAGGCAGGGGAATGCCAACTGACAGATCATGGTCTCAGTTTAGCAGTGTCCCATACCACCCCTTTTACGTATTACCAAGGTACTCCTCACACAATAGGTATGTGGGTACTATCACTCACATTAAAAAATAATCAGCTTCCCAAAAGAGAAGGAACAGAATGACGCACTCTGTTTCTCTATACAATTAGGTTGGAATCTCCCACAGATAGCTAGTTAAAAAAAAAAGAGCTTTTGCTAGCAGCTGGCAAAGAGGTTATTCTTACTTAGAGGTGCAGCAGTTTCCCTTGCATTAGTGTCATGACCTGCTGAGAGGAAGCCTGTCAGGGCCAGAGGAATTCCTGTTGCAGAAAATCCCAAAAGAAACATTTCTGGTCCCTCCCAAAACCTTTACTAAGTCACAGGCCAGGTGGTAAGGCTGGGAAAGACATATAGTCCAAATCCATACATTCTCTTCAAGTATCAGGTCACCTTAAAACAGATACTGCCAAGGAAAAATGAATATACAGCACAACAAGTAGAGAAGAAGGATTATAACCGCAATCCATAATAAAGTGAAAAGATTTCCCCAAATTGCCCATGATAGGAATGGTGCCATCCTATCACTATTAATATATCAGTGTGCCACTAATCAATTAAGCCTTTTTTTTTAAATAGCTTCTATTTAATGGATTTTTATAATTTTTACAAATGTTAACATGACAGATAAAAAATACATTCATTTTCAAATATGTGAAAAGTATCTCAATACTGCTTAAATTAATACTGTCACATTGACTACTGGTGCAATATTATCTAATAATCATTACCAGCTCTTGAAGCTAGATCAAAAGCCTATAGAAGTTAATGGAAAGATTCCCCATTGACTTCTTCAAAGGGCTTTGGTTCAAAGCCTATGCAGTAGTTTCACAGTCTGAAAGGCCAAAACTGCTGCTGCCACTATATTGTTTATTTCAAAATATCTAATTTTTAGCAAAGAAACCTGAAAGGATTCAGTCAAGAGTCCAGTTACAATATTATAATTTCTATTAAAATAATGCAATTATATCTTAATTTCTACTCTGCAGTGAAGCAACAGAAATGGTAACTAGAGAGGCGCACATTAGCATGGATAAAATAAAAACTGAATCCAAATTTTGCTGTGCCTTTGCCTTCTCTACTTATTCCTATTTCCACTCCTCAGTTCTGTTTGGTCTGGAAGCAGGAGCACTGATATGCTATTTGAAAGGCCAGCAAGAAACAACTTCAAACAAACATGGCAAATAGGAAGAAAAATAAAAATCTTGTCAAACCTTGAGATACTGTCTCCATAACAGATTATAAAAATATTTTTCAAATGAAGTCAGTGATCACGAAGAAGTGGTTTACTATGGAAAAATTGAACCTGGGAAATATCTAAAGAAAATGCCTAGTACTAGCCTGATATCTGACTCCCCAGGTATCTCTCCACTATTCATCCCCCTTCTCTCCC